ATAAATTCCTCTACGTCTCGCTGTGGGAGACAAAGGTTATAAAGAGAAATTAGTTTGAAGTAAGCACTTCATTAAAGCTACGGGTGCGGAGCGAATTGCGATACATGCCGCTATGTACGGCTGACAAAGGTAGAATTTTAGCTTTTTTAGTTTAAACTTTTATTCGGTTTATAAATAATGGATAGATAATGCTTTGGATTACATGTTAATGTAAAATAGTTTATGAAATGATAAATTAAGACATCAACTATTCATCATCCGCAAATAGGATGTCCCGAAAATATTTTTTTTCGATTTTCTCTACTCAAAAGTTTCGTTATTATTTGTAGATAACCATAAAAAATATATATCTCTACCAGCATTTTTATTAAAAACATACATATATATATACTATTTTATACACATTAATTACTCCAATTTCATTTTATTGATAGTAAAGCCCTAAACTACGATTTGCAGGTAGGCAGGATGTTTTCAGTTAGGAATTGGTTTGGATTGAATTCGTGTTTTGACTTGTTTTTCTCAAATTTTCTACTTCTACGATGAGGTAGTTCGTCTCATTTTATTGCAGTTTCATTGTTGTAAAGTATCGCTCCGTACTTTCTTGTGATAAATTACGTGTTTGTCTTACATTTTAATAATGGGTTCAAGACGAAGTGAGACTACTTGTGCTATTTTGGGATCTTAACTTGATGATCGCCAGTTACCAGTGATTTTGTGACGTTATCAAATTAATTTTGTTAACTAAAAATGAACTAAAACAACAGAAGAATGGGAAAGATCTTTCTAGCTCAGAAGTTTTTTTAATCGTTGCTAAAATACTTAGTCCGATTTGGATCAAAGCCTCGAGTCCCACTGTTTCCAATGTACGATTTATCCAATCGCTGAAATCACATTTCGACAAATACCTTTCAATGAAAAGATATCCCAAATATAAAAGAAATGATAGCTACGAAATCAAAAACAAAAAAATTTGAAGCGATTAGAGATTAAGCCAATCCTGTTCCGGTGCACGAGTTGCCACCTCAGGTGCCATGTTCAGGTAATTCACACAAACGCGCGAAAGTTTTAGCGAAAAAGTAAGAAGTGCTTAAAAAATGGGTAGCTCAGTGGTTAGAGCGGTCGCCTGGATTGCGAAAACTCATAGGTTCGAGTCTATCTCAGAGTGCCAGAGACAACGTGGATCTCTTAAGCATTTTTTACTGATAATTTTTTTCAGTATAACATTATGAATGCGGAATTAATTAAATATAAAAATTAGAACAAATTTTCATTTTTATCGAAAGTTCAATATTTGGGAAAATATTTCTTGGATGGATTGCCTGAACACTGATGAGAATACACTCTGTAGTAGCGAAAAAGGCATTTGGAGGCGTTTTTTTAAACAGTGAATAATGATAAGTTAATAGTCTATTATCAAAACGTTCGTGGTTCACGCACTAAGTATTGAACATGAAAATAAAATATACTTTCATCGAATTACGATTAAATAGTGTTAACCGAGCGAGACGTGTCTGTACGACGGTATATATGATATAGAGTTGTGCGATTCCGTAAGGATCGTGCTATGACAACGCGTGAGTTGTGGAAAATTGACAAGTGATGATTTTGGTGCGTCGCGAGTTGTGCGCGCTTGTGAACAGTTTTGTTCGAGGGGGCCAATTCTACTAAATAGTCCAGTTCTATTTTAGCTGGAATTGTATCGTATGTCACTTAGTAGAATAGAAAAACCATTAAAAACTGTAGCTTCGTTCGGTTTCGGTCCATTTTCAATTCGATTTAAACAAAATTTATTTAGTAGAATTGGCCCCCGTAATCATTGCAGGGGTGCAATGATTACTGATACGTTAACTATAACAATACTAGCGTGCGTGCTCAAATCCACCGTTGACCTTCACATTTGTGTGGCTTATGTTCCACCCTTTTCTAATCAGAATCCTGATACTTTCTAATAAAATATTAATTTTATTACTAATTCATTTTTTCAACGTATGTAGTGCTATCCTAATCATAATAATATTTTATTAGGGGACTTTAAGTTAAGCTATATAGAATGGGACATAGATCACAATCCAACTCATTTAAGCAGGGCGTCACCACACCACCTAAGGGGTCTAAAAAGCGACACTGCTGTTAACTGCAGCACATGTAGAGTTATCACCTTTTGGACACCACATCGGATGCACTCTATACTTTAATATTAATGTCTATCGCAAAATTGCATGTGTGCGTGTCCAATAAATGATTTCTATTCTATTAAGAAAAAGGACCTATTACATTACAAAATATTAGATAAAAGTTTTTTAATGAGCTAAATTCACTAGGTTTAATTCAATATGATTTCCTCAAAAATTAATTTAGAAATACTCTTGATTTTGTGTTTACAAATTTAACTTCGACCTAGAATGAATTTTCGAACTGTTCAAAGGGCATGGTTTAATGAATACACCGCATATATTTAAGCATATATTTTGTAGGCATTTATACTGACAGCTCACTAAACTGGCACACACAGACAGGCCCGTCCTAAGGACAACAAACGCCCGGGTGCAGGTAGTGTTCTGGCGCACCAAGCCCATCTTTCCTGGATGCTATTAGCTGTCTCAGACAGCGCCGCGGTGCCCCCTGAGACGGCGGCGCCCGTGTGTAGTGCACATCCTGCACTATAGGTTAAGCCGCGGTATAGGTATTTCCTCTAAAATCCTCTTAATCCAATTAATCATTTTTCCCACTATAGATTATGCTGACGTGTGTTATGCTGATATCACACAGGTACTTCTCAACTAATTGGATCGATTACTTAATAATTGAATACGTTTTATTTTCTGTCTTCGTAAGTACGATCACGTCTCTTCTTTTAGAAAAAAGTTAAAATGGTTAACTATTCGGCAGCATGGAGATCTTAGGATGCTCTCTACCCTTAATTCCATCAATAAAGATCAATGTGCGCCTGGATATTTGAAATGTGAGTTTCCATATCTAGGTACTTCACACAGCCGGAACCTTCACTCAGACAGCAAAGAAACTCTCGCCACTCCTTTTCACCGCACCATTCTCGCTTCAGGCTATACGACTTTGGATCGCACTACCTCCCCATATTCAAGCTGCTCGAAATAAATTATGTTTCAAAAGATTGTTACGCGAAAAGCTTCTGAATTCTGCTACCGCTTGTAATTAATCTGACTTATTTATATTAATATATGTATATATTATATGTTTATATATTTATTTATGTTATGTGATTTGTTTGTTATGTATATTAATTTCCATTTTATATATATACATATATTGTTTAAATGTTAGTTATTTTATTATTTTTTATGTCTAAACTACTGCAATTAAGTCCGCCATTTGTACACTTTATTTGTGCAAAGAAGTTTAAATAAATAAATATACTCAACATTCAATAAAAAGTCAGCCTAAAATATTTTGATCGCATGAAAAACATTGCGAGGTGGTTCTAGCTATCCCAGCAAAATATAAAGATAGTACTTATGATAGCAAAGACATATGCGAAGTATTTCTAGTATTCATTTGTCCGTTGACAGTATAAAAAATTTCTTAACACTCTAGACAATAATATAGGCGCAGATAGCGATAATATAACACCTGTATTCTGGAGATATTGTCCAACATCTGTATCATAACCCCATTTTATTTTATTTAATAAATCATTAAACGAAAGTTGCCTTCCTGCAATATGAAAAGAAGCACATATCATCCCTTTACAAAAAAATATCTGAAGTCCAGTTCAATGCGTGCGTCTGCTGGGCAATAGTTGTTTTTTTATATAATATTAAAGTAAAATGTGCGTTTTTTAGGCATATGCAAGTGTATAATACTAGATATAAAATATTCTTAGTAAAATTAGCTTTTGTCAAACTTATTATTGTTTAAACCGAAAAATTGAAGGAATATCTTTATTATGATTCATTCTCCGTCTAAACAATCCTCTTCAAACCCAGATTTGAGGGCAGAAATTGAGTTGGCACACCATGTATCACTTCGTAAGCGTAAACCAGATTGCGAAATAATGGAATCTTTTAAACAATATACGCAGATTACACAGTACACTCAGAGTTTTAAATAAGATTTAAACATCCAAATATCTAAAATTGACGGTAACAGATAGTATGAAATCCGATTTGGAAACATTGTCTACTACTTACGAGAGATATAAAGAATTGTCCTTTTTGCAGAATGATGTAATTGAAATAGCCACATCACTCGTATTTTACTAATCTGACTATTCCAATTGAACATTTTAGTTGCATATTATAATTCTCTTATAACATCATAAGTAGCTCGGTGGCGTAGTGGATAAGCGCCGCGGCCCGCGATCGTAATCGTTAAGCAACTTTCGCAAGGGTCGGTCACGGGATGAGTGACCATAAAATTATTATCTCGTGCTACTCCGTGCTTCGGAAGGCACGTTGAGCCGTTGGTCCGGGCTGCATTTGCAGTCGTTAATACCCTCCAATCCGCATTGGACCAGTGTAGAGGGTCATAGCCCATCCTCCTTAACCATCCATAAGGAAGGCCTGAGCCCCTGCAGTGGGGACCTAAAAGGGCTGGTGATGGTGATGATAACATTATAAAGCCTAGAATCTAACTAATTAGGGATGAAAGTCAAATGTGTGATGCCAATTTCTATTAGCAGATAGCAAACTAAATATGGTCTTATCCATGTTTCCTAATTGTTTTATTTTGTTTTTGTTTACCTGCTCTAAATATATAGTTAGAATTTTTGCAAAAAAAACGACCCGCGATCGTTGTCGTTAAGCAACTTTCGCAAGGGTCGGTCATGGGATGGGTGACCAAAAAATTATTATCTCGAGCTACTCCGTGCTTCGGAAGGCACGTTAAGCCGTTGGTCCTGGCTGCATTTGCAGTCGTTAATACCCTCCAATACGCATTGGGCCAACGTGGAGGGTCATGGCCCACCCTCCTTAACCATCCATAAGGAAGGCCTGAGCCCCTGCAATGGGGACGTAAAGGGCTGATGAAGATAATGGTAATAAAGAAATCATAAGAATACAGTTAAAACAAACAGAATTTTAATTTCTAGTGAAATCTTTTACTTCTTTTTCAAATAAATCTATTGTATGGTCACAAACTCTCTGCAAATCTTTCAGGCCTCTTTTTAATATTTCCAGTGCAGGTATTTCTCTTGATTGTATCCTGAAATGCATTTTTGATTCTGCTGGGTGCGGTACTGTGTATCCACAAAAATCAACATCTTCACTGTAATAAGAAAAAACATTGAAACTGTAATAAAAGGCATAAATTTTTTATAAACTATAATTTACTCAATGTATTAATTATTTTCAAATTGACATTAGTTTTTTAAACTTATATGCATATTACTCCCATTAATATCACAAATAGTAGCCTACTTTTGTAGTATATGATTAAAATATAAACCTAATAATAAAAATACAGCTCTAATATGTATAAAAGTAGCAATTTCATCAAATTTAGCTGATAAAATGAAACTGTAAGCTATACTATTAATTACAAAAAACAATTGACACCTAAGTCTTAAGTGAACATGAAACCAGTAATGGATCTGAAACATGAATGCTGTTTAAAGTAGTTTTATCTAAGGCATAGTGTGCGTAAAAATAAAAAAAGTCAGTAAGATTAGCTGATTTGCCATGACATCACCAGCATAAATATTAGTTTGTCACCCGCAAGTGATCGTTTCCCATATGTGATAAAATTTAGTTAGAAACTACCTCTATAATATTAGTTTAAAGTACATCTATAAGTGATTTAATTAGCTTGAAAGTTAAATGTGGAAATATAAATGTTGTTGTATGCTGTATTTGTCTACCTCTTTATGATTACAAAAGCAAAAATAGATTCCCAAATGGCTAAATAGAACTAAATAAAGTAAAAAATAAGACAATGAAAAAAAATAAGTATGTATATCATTTTATAATAAATATCATTGTATATACACCACTATCCATAGAACTATCAGTTTTGGGTGATACTGCATAAAAACAATACACAGTACCACACATTAAAGATAGATCTATCATGGCATGTATGGTGGTGATACAGATCATTTTCTTTTGAAACTCTTATGGGTAATTTTTTGTCAGTGTCATTTTCTTCACTGGCTCTAAGCCATCTCCTAGCCCCTAAGAGCAGAGTATGTATTAAATAAGCAAAGTGTAATACTGCCAAAAAAACTTAGTAATTTTCAAAATTTTGTTTAAAATAATTACATATAGTAAGACACTTACTATCTGTTTATTATACATTTTAAAGCATTTCCAAGTGTGTGGCTTTCATCTTGAAAAACATAAGTACGGCATGTCATTCCGGAATCTTCATCTCCAGGAAGCTGTAAATTCAATAAAATAAATATATTTACAAGATTATTTTCTAATCATGCTTGTGGAATTTTGCTTTGTTATATGCACTTTTATAATACCTCAGATATTTTCATTTTTGAGTTTCGTTGAAAATGCTTCGAATTTGTATATTACAATAATTTAAGATTACAAAAAAGAGATTTATCTCTTTGGTCAACCTTAGATATTCAAAGCGGTCAACAGTAACTTTCATTGGCTATTTTTGTTAAAAACAAATCGTACTGGTACAAGGCAAATGAAAAATCCCACAGAAAAGAAGTTTTTTAAAAATGACAGTAGTAGTAGTTTGTCTGAGACAGGCGAAGGAACTAAGGCATACTGCCAAATCTGGGGTTTATTATATTATTTTATAACGCAAAGTCTAGTCTTTTCTACTTTTTTTTATTCCGTCTTGTCTTGTTCAGCGGTTATTATTTTACATATCTGGGAAGGTCAAATCATATTTCTCCAAGAGTGGAGCTAATAATAAATCGGTACAAAGTTATATGTTGTACATGACAAAAAGATGTGTTCAAGTGTCTGGTTTTCTTGAGTTTGTAGGACACCTATACATACTTACAACAGTCCATATTTATTTATTTATAGGTATATATTCACCACTAATATAAACAAAGACATTTCGCAGTCACGTACAGTTTAATATCATAGATTATTGAAACACTCTGGCAATGAGGAAGTATTAAAAAAAACATCAGTTCCCGAAATCACACTAGATGTCGCTACGGTACGTTCTTGATGACAACCCTTCCGGTTTTCTTTCATGTATAAAGGTAGATTATTTTTAAAAACTCAATAAACAACTTATATTCTATTTGTACTTTATCGTATTTGTATTGATATCTAAGTTTCGAACTTTGCATATTTCAGTTTCTTAGTATGTTAATTAAAAGGGATGGAAACACAGAACAGATAAAAAGGTTAGAATAATAACGTACTAACATTAGTACTAGGACCGCGCGTGCCAGATATCACAAAGACGTAAAACTTCACCTATTCACCTCACAAAGAGAACGATGCTACCATTGGCTACAAAAGTTTCAGCAAAATTAGTGTATATTAGCCTATTAATACAGGTGATTTTACAGTAATACACAAAATGTATGGCTAGCTATAATAAAAATCTGCACAATTACTTTTGTTTGTTCTAAATAATTTATTTTGTGCGCGGATATTAAATTAGTTAATGTGCAAACATTTTAAATATATGTTTTATTACATAAAAATGTTATTTCACGACGTATCTGCATTAAAACAATTTTTAAAATATAATGCAAAGAATTTTACGCTTCTGTCAACACTGAAATAGTGAAGTGCCCTGTGATTCACAATTTGATATCGATAATCAGAAAATCATTAATATATTGGGTTAATATAATAAAATAATTTATTAATTTATCATTTCGCAACTGCCACGAAAAAAAATATCCAATGAAAATAAATACCATATGTATGTGATCACTTCACAATGTATGTAATCAACCTTCACTTGAAACGGCTCGATCAATTAGACCAATTCCTATCTTGCTAAAGTAGTAATGTAACTGCGATTTTTATCAGTTTTAATCAGAAGTAAGTTAGTAGAACGGAGTCACATATCAAGGGCAGGTGACAGTGTCGACAATTTGGCCCTTTGGGGGCTAGATTTTTATAATTTTAATTAGCTTTTTTTCTATTAAAAAGCATAGTTTTATTTTTTGATACCTAGTCATATTTTTTTTGTATATTTAATCATAATGAGGAAGTATTTAAAAAAAATAAAGAAACTACAGAAAATTATGTCACTAGATGGCAGCACAAATTGTTGGATCTAAACGTCAATTCATGACGTTAAACCAAAGAGAATAGATTTGTTAGTGTTGTTATGGATCTGATAACTCGGATTAATATCAAGTTGAAATTTAACTAGTTCGAGTTATGCAAACGCAACTCGATTAATAGAAAGTAATCTTTGAATAAATTTATTTTTTATTTGTATAGAGGAAAATGGAAACTAACATAATGGAAGTGAGCACAGTGGTTTTTAAATTTATGGAAATCAATTGAATGCTGTGATATAATTAAAAGTGGCATCTAACTACGGTATACAATAATATTACCGCCAAATAGTTTTATAAATAAAAAAGGTACTTATGTAATTGTAGGTCTAGGAATTTTTAACTTTAATATTTAACAAAAGTTCTGAAAAAATAACAACTAGGTAAGTTAGTTTTATTGCTATTAGTTGTTTGTTGAACTTTCAACAACAAAACTATATCAAGTTTCAATAATATTTTTATATTATGTATGGTGAATGTATGGGTTTATTAATCAAAAACAAAAGTCATAAAAACGATAATTATTATAAAAAAATCCGTTTATTATCTATAAACTTACCCGATATGTATCAAATATACTATGCATTCGTACAAAATAACATAACTGCTGGCTAAAATGACGTTTGTGCAAAGTGTAACGTGCAAATAACTTGTGCTTTCGAAATTAAGACATTATAAAACTACTATCAGTTATTAAATCTTATATTCATAATTAAATCATCTTAATAAACATTCAGCAATCAACAAGAAACGTCTGCTCTAAACGAACAGCAAGGTTATAACTTTATATTTCAAATCACAAAGTTATTATACTATTGCTATTGATCTTTCATGTCGACGGCAGACGTCGAGCTATGTGTTAAGTTAATTCGTACGGTGGGTTTGTGCTTTTTGGTTCTTACAATAATATTGTTAATAATAGTTTGACTTCCTACACAACCTACTCTAGAAATCCGTTTTGTTGTTTAGTTGAAATTAAAAAAGCAGCCCTTGCTGAGTTTCTTGCCGTTTTTTGTCAGTACGAGATCTCCCGCCTTAGTTTTGCGAACCATTCGTAAAGTTTTCGACTTTTACAAGTAATATGTAACAGCCTAGACTGAATTGATTTTGATATTTATGTAAATATCATTCGTTTTGTGGATGCATAATGACACTTCATCTTCATCATCATTTTTGTTCTCCATTCCAAACCTGAATTCAACGAAAATTACGAGCAACCAATAAAGCTGGAAACAAATTATCGGACGCGGCTGACGGACGCGGCTGACAGCTGCGACTTATAAGTTTGCACAGTCTTCAAGGACGTGGCTTGCGGACATGTTTCGAGGCCTATTCCACTAAGAACTGTTGACGAAGAAACATGTCGAGTAATGAAACTGAGGACGAATTTTTCGAATTAGCGGCAGCAGCTTTATGTTGTCCAGCCAGAAAGAAAATAAAAAGAAGTTCGTCCACGTTTGGGTCCATGACATAAATAAAGTGTGATGAATTTCACACTTTGTATCCTCAATTATTAAGAGATGAATGTCGTTATAAACTTTATTTGAGAATGAATGAGGATCAATTTAATTTTTTGCTAAATCTAATCGAAAACTACATTGAAAAACAATCAACACAGTTTCGTACTCCTATGTTTTTTTATAACATCTTTATAATCCTTCAATTTAGGATTATAAAGTAATTCTTTGTTGCGAATACACTATATAATTCGTTCCTCCTTTTTAACGCACGTGGACACGTGGAATCTCTTGCGTCGTCAGCGTCCTTCTGATGCAAGGACGCGTTCCGCACCCCGTGCATACTGTCCGCGGACGTTTTCGGCTGATAAAAACAACCAGCGAGCCAGATTCCTGTCGGACGTCCGAAGGCTGAAGGTCAGCCCAAGGTTACGTCCACGACTTACATCCGATAGTCTGAACAGCTTAGTGTACATTCATTACCTAGATGCCTATATGTCGCGGCTGACAGCCGCGTCCGTCAGCCGCGTCCGTCAGCCGCGTCCGATAATTTGTTTCCAGCTTAAGTTGGCTCAACACTAATGTTGACGTATCAACCAAACATCGTTCCTTTACACGTAACATAATAAACAACTTAAACTTACAATTAAAATAAATTCAAATTAGTTTGAAAGTGAGATATTATAAGAAACACAAAACGATGTCATTTTTATTCATCTAAAATACTCAATTTACATTTATTACGTCAGAAATTAAATTTGAATGAATATCATAAACAAAATCCAAAAATCGCGAGTGACATCTAGTATGATTTCAAGAACTAATTTTTATTTTTTAAATACTTCCTCATTATTATTTTTACTAACTTTGTATTATATGAAGCACAATATATTAAGAATGGAAAATAATAACTAAGAAGGCTCATTGAAAGTATATTTCAATAATATCCCAATATAACATTTAATTTGACAATGTAATTAGAAAATTAGATGTAATACATAATATCCCAATATGTAAGTAATTAATCATATTATTTTATTTATCATTGAATATTAATATAATCATTTTCAGAAAAATGTGTTGAACAAATGCAACTAGTTTTAGAAGGAAACCATTGACCATTTCTACCACTTACGTCAATCCACTTTTCTTTGTCGGGGTTTCTAGGAAAACTGAAACATAAAAATCTTTAAAAAACTGTTAACTATTTATCTTAATAAAAGTTTGCTTTAATGTTATAATTGCATGTAAATTGATTACCATTCAAAATATTAGGGTTAAGTACTATCGATAACATTTTATCGATAGATATAATAATGCATGCAGATGCAAGCATTATGTTAATAACTGACACAATCTTCTAAAAAAGAAATTGTGATTATATCTCGATATACCGTTATACAACCAATATTTTTTACTTACCGATGAATGAAATTTCTCCTTTTTTCAGACTTACATTTTCACTACGCAAACAACACGTAATAACGGCATAATTCGGCATATTTTTGTATTTTGCGACGCACCATAGACCACTATGACATTGTGCAAATACTAAACTAGAAATTTGAATAACGTGACGTTCATATGACCGTTTGGGCATATGGATGGTCACACGACCCCGCCCACTTAATCGTTCTCCCTTTTTACTTTTTCTGTGGATGAAAAGGACTCTTTTTCCAAAAAATTAACTTTTGCTAGAGTCGCCATCTAGTGGAGGTGCTTTTTTAGTGCTTTCGTTTTTTTTTATTTTCTCATTATAAAAAGAGTAACAAAATAAATAATATACTTATATTGCATATCTTTGGTCCATTCGTTTCCTGCAAAAATCAACTTTTTGGTAGAGTTGCCATCTAGTGAAGTACTTTTTTAGTGCTTAATTTTTTCTTAAAATACTTCCTCATTGTCTCGAGCTTTACAGCTGTTGTTATAACTACAAAATATTATTACAAATTACGAATATCCCTGGCCTTCATATGAAAAGATTCCAAGATATTATTCTATTTTCAGCACGGACTTAGTACTTATAGCTCAGAAAAATTGTAACTACAAAAATGAACCTTTATTTCCTGAGTTTATTACCTATTATCAATTAGTGTACTTTTAATTGCTCTTTGCACATAAACTAATCCGAGCCGCGAAATATAGTCTCAACGCAGGCAGAGGGTCTTGTTCTTTCATCTTAACATTATAAAAAAAAATATCGTTTCTTTAAAAAATTTAACTATTCATATTAAAATTTTTAATATAAATTTATTTATTTTATTTTCTATAAAATAACCTTAGTGGAAATATTAGTTTTTTAACGGTAACTGTTTTAGGATATTTAGTTATTATATAATCACATTGTATAATCACACAAATAACAGTACTCATTATTATAAAAGCTATTTGTTCACTTATTTTTTATAGTATCAGTGAATTGCGACGCACATTAATACGTGTGTATCGAACAACGGTTTAGTGCAGAAGAACCAAATAATAAATTTAAAAATATGTACCGATTTTCCACGAGACCCAGACGCAATGGCGTAACTATACTGGTAATATTAGATCACGGCAGGTAATCTCTATAGAAGAAAAATAGACCCAATTTGTTACCATAGACAAACAACGGTAGTTTAGATTTTGACATTTCTTCCCCCCTTTCCCGCACATCCTACACCCGCTTTCTCCTGTGATTGTCGCGCCATTACCACAGATATTTCGCCATTACAGTTTTGATGTTGATTGAGTGAAGTTACGTCGAGGTTTTGTTTCTCCGTGCTTATCCTCTCGCATTTTAAAACTGTGATATTCGAGTGTTTTTCATTATGAAAAATACGTGTTGTGTTCCTAATTGTGGAAGCAAACGCAGTGGTGTCAAACTGCATAAGTTTCCAAAAACTGATAGTAGAAGAAAGTGGGTGCAATGTATAAACAGTGAAAAACTGAAGAAACTTAACATAAAAGAATTGCTTTCGATGTTTGTTTGTCATAAGCACTTTGAACGTAGGTTTGTGACTGCTAGCTCACGCCTTAAAAGCTTTGCTTATCCTACCTTGTTTACTCAAGAGGAGATGGATACTGGCATACCTTCAACTGCTTATAAAAACAATGGTAAACTATATAATTACCTATTTTCATTACAAAAATTACGAATAAATTGGTTATATCATATCATAATATACTTAGCGATTTATTTTACTAAAATACCCAAAATCTGTTCTAGAAAACATACTGCTATGTGATCATGATTATGCACAGAAATTGAGGAAGCCACATATTGATCATTCTTACTCCAGAGGTCGACCTTTGTTAGAGATACAACAGTTCCAATTTATGAGAAATACTGGTAAGTATTACAAATATGCCATTTTATGGGATGGATTTAATTATATCATACAAATGGAAGTATAATTGCATTTTATATAATAATAATATGTCTGCGTGAATGGTCTATGATGTATATATTTTTTTAAATATTTGATATTTTGATGAAACAACAATTAAATCAAATATTGTTGATCATTTAACAATTAGGATGTTTCTTACAAGTGAAAATTCTGGTTTCTGTTATATGTTTTGAATGAGCCAATTTCACTTATAAATATTTACAAAAATAAATTGTATGCTTTGAAAACTTGAAAAAGATTTCAAAGCATTCAATTTATTAAAAAATATATTTTTAACTTTGTTAAAATACATAGGGCATTAAATTAGTTACATAAAATATAACAACTTTCAATATATAGTCCTGATATAACAGTTCCAACTATATGTTTTTTGCTACCATACTCTCGTTGTGATGTTGAATTTGTAGGGTTCGTTTTTGACTAACCAGCAGCAGTGTCACAAACACAGCACCAAATCTCCCAAAGTATTAAGAGCAGACATGCAGTCAACTTTTTTCATTAATGGCAACATGATTGTTTGATTACAGATTGTGATACTGCACCCACTGCATCCATTTCGAATATTGAAGAAGAAGTACTGCTCCCCCATTTGATAGGTAATTTTGGTTTTTGTATCTTTTGGATTATTCTTGCAATTTTATTAGCATATAATTTTATAAAAAAATGGTTTTTAGATGTGCTGGACTTCTTTTTTGTTTATTTTTGTTAATTATATTTTCAGAATGCAATAAGCCTTCAACATCTACTCAGTGTGCAGTGGAAACTATAACCAAATCTGGTAAGGTTATTTTTAGTCACATTGTTAATTATTAGTTTAATTAGATTTTAATATTACATATTTCCATTAAATTTGTGGTTTTTATTTTGTTGTAGGATCAAATGTTCTGATGACGCCAATGAAGAGACAAAAGTTTAAGAGGTCTTATTCCACCAAAAATTTTGTAACACCTAGATGTCATCAAATATTAATGGAGTATAAAAAAGCCAAAAAACAACTCAATTTTGCTAAAAGAGCTAAAAAAGCTATTAAATTCTCAAAAAAAGAAAACTTTGAAAAACTGACTTCAAAACTGAATCCAGTAGCAAAAAAGATATTATGGATGCAAATTAATCAAAGTACAAAAAAAACAAAAGGTCGGCGTTTTACAGATGAGGAAAAGATGATTGCACTTGCTATAATGAAGCAAAGTCCAAAAAGTTATAGGTTTTTGAGAAGAATTTTTATTCTTCCTTCAGTGAGGATCATCAATAAAATGATCACCACACTTAAAATGGATTCAGGAATCAATCCTCGAATATTTCAGACCATAAAATCAGAGGTATGTGGTTTAAGCTTTAACATTTATTAGGTTAGGTTGTTATGTTTTTTATTTAGTCATTTATAGCTTATTAATCCATTTTTAGTTACCCATCATTTTAATTTTGTGATTTCAAAATGTATAACATTTCTAGATTGCAAAGTGGCCTGAAACAAAGAAATACTGCTCTGTCCTCTTTGATGAAGTTGCTCTTGAACCGGGATTAGCTTATGACAAGCACAGTGACAGTATATGTGGATTTGTTGAGCTAAATGAAAAGGCAAATAATTATGCTGATCATGCGTTAGTTTTTATGGTTCGTGGAGCCTTACACAAATGGCAACAACCAGTATGTTTTTATTTTTGTGAGGGAGCTACTTCTGGCACTGTTTTAAAAAATATAATAAAAACTGTTGTAACAGAGGTAACAAAAACAGGATTGTTACCTGTGGCACTAATATGTGATCAAGGAACTTCATTTCAGTCTGCTATAAAGAAGTTAAAAGAAGAAACAAAGAGACATCAAATTCAGATGGATGAAACTTATGGTATGATTTAAAATTTTTCTTTTGTAATTATCTTAAACTAACTGTTTTCCAAGAACTCACCTGCGTAAATTATAGCATAAGTAACCTTGATATGATTACGCATCACCTAGGTAGCATTATTTTAAATTGCTCTCTGAGCCTATTGATACAAAACAAAAACTGTTTAAAACATAAGTACATAAGCATCTATATTAATAGTTAAAATGTTTCTTTTCTTGGTTAGACCAAGATGATATTTATTACAATAGTCAGTACTATGTAGTTTTTTTTAATAGCTGTATGATTTTATTTCAGATGATACTATTATAATAGAAAACCAAAAAATTAGTATTTTATATGATCCACCCCATCTTATCAAAGGGATAAGAAATAATTTCTTAAATAAAAATATTAAATATAATGGGAAAATATCGAAGTGGGATGACATAGTTGATGTTTACAATACAGATTGCAAACATGCAGAAATGCGTATGCTGCATAAATTAAATGACGAACATGTCATACCCCAAAAAATAAAGAAAATGAAAGTAAGTAAATTAATAGAGTAGAAATATCATATAATTTAAAGATTAAATAATGATTATAAAAATCTTTACTTTTTAGGTAAAGAATTGTACTCGTGTGCTCAGTAAAACCGTAGCAAGTGCTTTAAGATACACAGCAAACTTTTGTAAGTAAATTCTTGTGGTTTAATTGAAATTTCATTGGCAAGGTAACACTATTTTACAGTTTTCTTTTTTTACAGCACACTATGTGGATGGAAAGCTAGTCAGTGAAACTTTACTAAACACTGCCAAAATGGTGTCATTCTTTGATGACCTTTTTGATTCCTGTAATGGATCGTCAATCACGATAAAAAATAAAGGCAAACCTCTAAGGCAAGCTGCATCTAAGAACTCGAAACATATTTCATTTTGGAAAGATGCTATTAAAAAGCTGGAAGATTTAAAATTCATTGACAATAATGCCAGGGAATGCGTGGTGCCATCCCAAAAAAATTTTATTACAACTTTAAAAAGTTTGATAAGGTTATGGCACTTCTTTCAAAGTAGGGGATGCAAATTAATGCGTCCCCGATATTTCAATACTGACCCACTGGAAAACTTTTTTGGCCAGGTACGGGCATACAGCTTTAGAAATAACGACCCAAATTGTAAGTTATTTAAAAATATATTTCGATCCCTCTTAATTACAAGGTTTATCCATTTTCATTCTGACACTTACAATTGTGAAGATTCTTCAGGAGACCAAATAATAAAGTTAAAAAATTTATTTCACCATAACCAGGAAGACAATTTAGAAATGATAACGTCTTCCTGTCAAACTGCCACAATAATGTCTCCTGGAGAAAAAGAAAATCTCATCACAGAAGCTCGTAGGGAAAGACTAAATGTTCACTCTCGTGCCTACACTGCGGGATGGGTAGTGCGGAAATGCCTCAACAAATTTAATTGCTCAGAGTGCAAAAATAATCTCACCCAAAATAATGAGTCTTCTGTTCACACCTGGATATCGCATAGGGAATTTAAAGATTTTAAAAAGAAAATGAAACTTACCTATCCCTCGGAGCAGGCTGTTAATTTGTTTAGCGTAATCGTTAATCAAGCCAATGAATATTTGGAATTACAACCAAATGTCAATTTCATTTCCAAAGAAATAGAAAAAAGAATTGGTAGACATAATTTCAATTTCCTAACATGTGAAAAGCACTATGGAGCTATCTGTGATTATTTTCTTGATGTAACAATTAAATTGTGTTTGTTTAATTGGTGTTCTGTTATTAATAAAATATTAAGAGGGGTCGATTTGTTACGCTTAAACGAAAAACAATTACCTGATATGCAAAGGAAAGCTTTAGAAAAATATACAAAAAAACTTAAAAATAAAATGTTGCATAAATAAAACAATAATTTACAGCAGTTTGCTGCAATTACATAATGTTTTTAAAGTTTACGGAATTAAATTTATTATTATGTATGAATTGGAAATAAAGTTTCTTTGGAAAATAATTTACGATTTTTTATTCCTTGTCTCAAATTAATTCCTTCCTTGACTATGAAAACTATATTTATTATTGTTATATATAATACGTACTATTTTGGTAATGGGATGATATAATAAATGTAATACTTATGATAAAGGCTGGTAAGTTTCTTTCGCTTTATTTTTCTTGTCATCTAAAAGAAGTCCTGTACAAGAAGTAGGGTAAAAAATTTTTTTTTGGACTTTTTTCCATTTTTTTTTTGATAAAGACATTTTCATTTCATTTAATTTCATATGAAATTTAAAAAAAATCCTGAAACAGTATTATTTATTATTTATTGCTAATATAATAGACTTATATTTAAATAGATTACACTTTGATTACATAATGATTAATATCATAACTAGGTACAAAAAAAAAATTAATAGAAATTTTGTTTGTACGGGCGAATGTTTATTCTGCCAATTGGGAAAATTTGAATTTCGCGGTATTGAGTTTTTAAATATCCCGCGCTAGACAATCATAACCATTGATAGAGGTCTAAGGAAATATTAAAAAGTAAAAATGTGTCAAACTCTAAAATACCGTGCCATAATTGGTTCTTAGAAGTTTCCCGTCTGATACGTAGTATCTCCTTACTAGTCTGTGTATTAGATCCTTACATATGAAATTGACTGTTCTGGCACTTTAATTACAAATTTCTCCTCCTTTGTTGGGAATTTCAAATTCAAATTTATACAGCCATTTAGTTTCGTTATGCGGCATTAATTTGTTCTTTTTTATTCTGTTTGTTTCTATTTAAGCCACCCAGTATAAAAAACGGAAACCTTGAAATATCGTGTTATTTACGAGTACGAATCCACCATGGTACCACTGCCGCGGAAACGGCTCAAAGGGCGAAGGCGAAAAAACAAAAATAAATATATAGATCGTCTAAATTAATACCAAAGGCATTCATTCTGCGTAAGAAAATATTTTTACAATAATCTCTTTTACAACAATATGCAACTATTATAACTTTCAATATTCGATCATTTATGAATCACAAAGAGACTCCCTTGTTTGCCTTGCACCTTGCTACATAGGTACTCATTCTTTGCATTAATATCATTCTCTTTACCTCGCCTTAAATGAAAGCTACCTCGTGAGTACCCCACTCAATAAAATGTGCGAGTTACGCAACCCTAACTACAACACTCAGACCAAACAATTTAGAAAAATCGATTTTCTACATTGACCCGACCGGGCATCGAACCCGGTACGTCAGATATGGCAACGCCTTGAAACCGTCGCACGCCGGTATCACTCTGCTACTGTGGTCGGTTTTGTAACCATTATTAATGAATATTCCAACTTTATATCAGTAATGTCACTTTAAAAAAAATTTGCAACTGGGTGAGAATAGTATGAATGAAGCTTATGTAGGAAAATGAAACATTAAATTAATTCTGTTGCATGAATTCTTTAATTTCATGTCACATTTTAAACTTTAAATTCAGAGTATGGAGATTTGGTCAATGGGATATCACGCCACAAATCTGGTGTTAAATAGGCATATGTTTTGGCAATAGCAGCATAAGTAGCCTTAGCAAAATTGCCAAGGGTACCAGTTGAGCCCCTAGCTGAAGTGTAGCAATCTTGCACTCCTGCCATTTGAAGTAGCTTCTTGGGAACAGGAGCCGACACAATACCAGTACCACGAGGTGCTGGAATAAGCCTTACTGTTACTGATCCACATTTTCCAGTTACCTGAAACAAATGTATTACTCTTGTGTTACTTAATAACAAATTACTTGTGCATTGGATGTTGAATGCCATATTTAAGAATAAGACTTTTTAACAAAATTCACTGGCACGCCTCAAGTGGATACCACAAATGAAATATTAAGGTTCTCATCATAAAAGAAATAATCAACATTAAATAAGTAAACTTGCTGATATATTATTCTATTAGTTATCTATTATGGCCAGTTTAGAATTATTAAGTAATTTCATTTGTTTACATGTTAATCACAAAAACTTTAGTTTATCTTACTTTTATGCGTAAACCAATCATAACTGTGGTCCCTAGAAGTATTCAGAGTGGTCCATAAAACAATTCTATATTTAGAAAGTGCATAATTAGTCTGGTATAGTCTATTATACAGTATCCAAATGATGAAACGCTAAATTTGAGATAAAAAGTAGTCAAATACCAAAAATTAATAAAAAATTTATGATAATAATATCCTTATAAAACTTTTAAATTAAAATAGCAGTCAATTGCCTCTCAGTCATTTGCACAAACATGCATTAAGGTTTAATGACATCTTGAAACTCTAATGAACATCAAATTTGTTTGTGTAATGTCACTTTAAATTTATGTCAATTTTAATGGATGTTTGTGCAACTGGCTCAGTTAATAATAATCTTTCCCGTTAATAATAGAGTAAACGTTTACCTTGCAAGGCACCGTGTGAGGCTTTCCGATCTTATTACCCCAGTAGCCTCTGCGTACTGGAAGAACAGATAATTTGGCGAGAATAATTGCGCCTCTAATAGCAGTCGCCACTTCCTTGCTGCATTTAACACCCAAGCCAATATGGCCATTGTTGTCACCGATAGCAACGAAAGCCTTAAAACGTGTACGTTGTCCAGCACGTGTCTGCTTCTGTACAGGCATAATCTTCAGAACTTCATCGTTGAGAGATTGTCCAAGGAAAAAATCGATGATTTCAAATTCCTTGATCGGTAAGGAAAACAGATAAATATTCTCAAGTTTGTCAATTTTTCCTTCACGAACGAGACGTCCTAACTTAGTAACAGGAACCCATTCTTTCTGATCTTCTTTGCCACGGCCACGGCCACGACCACGTCCACGTCCACGACCTCGTGGGCCACCACGGCCCCTATCACCTCCTCGAGACCCAAAGCCACCGCGAAAACCGCCACGTCCACCGGCAGGAGCAGCGTCCGCCATTCTGAAATGAAATCATAATCATTGCAGTATTTCGATCGTACAATATATCAAAATCTATGCAGCTATGTAAAATCAGACGCATAGGACCATCACTGTGTAAACACTATGGTAGATACCACGAATGAAATGAATTGTTCTCATCATAGTTAAATCACGTGGTTAAAAAAAGGTTATGCAGGACTTATAAAATAAAATTATGAATAAAAATACGAATATATGTCATGATCAATTTGTTGAATAGAATAGTTTATTAAACACTACTCAGCTTATCCATTACATAATTTATAAAATTAACTTACGTTGAACTGTGCAATCTAAAAAGCGGCTAAACACAAAATGGCCGACCTTGCCCTGCCTTGCTTGATTTGCCTTCTTTTAGGGATGACGATCTGAGTCGATTTATCGGACTAAAAAAAAACGATTATTAAATCGATTAAGTGAATAAATTAGCTCTTGAAAATCTAATGTTGATAATGAAGAAGTATTATAAGAAAAAAATAAAGCACTAAAAAAGCACCTCACTAGATGGCGATTCTAGGAAAAGTGTTAGAGGGAGATTAAACAGCAGTTTCTATGAAACATTTACCTTTTATTATATTAATATTTCAATTTAATGACACCACAAATCGACAGACGTTATCAATTAAAACTATATTATGGTATTAGCGATGGTCTACGAAGGTTGAATATCGTGCCTTGCTTGCTGACTGCAGACACTCCACCTCAGAAGGCAGGATAGAGGATAGTTTCTCCTCCTTTGGCTTTAATTCGCCCAATCATCGTTCTCAGACGAAACATTCTCGGCCCTGGTAAACCTTTAGTTAAAGAGTCAGCTTCGTTTTCTTCAGTCCTAATAAATTTAAGCTCTATCTTATTATCCGAAACACAATCTCTTATAAAATGGACCTTCATATCAACGTGCTTCGATTTCTAGCTTACCATTGCATTTGTTCCAAATTGATGGCAACTTCATTATCACAATGTATTGTTATGGACTTCTCTTGCCGTAAATCCAAACTTTTGTGAAGTAAACCCAAGTGAAATGCCTCTTTAGCAGCTTCCGTTAATAAAACATATTCGGCTTCAGCCATCGATAGTGCTATTGCACGCTGTTTTCCAGATGCCCAGCTAATTGCTGCTCCTGCGTATTCAAAAATATATCCTGAAAAGGATTTCCTATCTTCTTTTCAAGCAACCCTATCGGCGTCGGCCATTCCGAACCAATTTGTATTCGTCTTTTGGTATTGCAGTCCCATGTTCTTAGTCCCTTTTAAGTATCTTAACACTCTTTTGGCACATTTGAAATGTTCCGCTCCGTAACAATCATTGTATTGCGATAGGTAACTGACCGCAAACATTATATCAGAGTCTTGTAGCAATCGCAAGATACATAAGTGTACCGATCAGATTTTTATACGGTAGATTATCCCCCTCTTTCTTGGGGTTCTTCACGAAGCAGATTCCAGATTTTATTGGCATCTTTGAAGCTTTACATTCAGCCATGCCAAATATTTTTAGAGTTTACTCAATATATACCTCTTGGCAGAGTTTGATACCTTCGTCATTGTATAAGAAATTGTGGCGGCTGATACATAGCGACATCTAATTCATCGCACTAACATCGCCACAACAATCGATAGCGAGAAGACTAGCATTGTCACAGCCATCGATAGCAAGACGAACTGCAATAAGTTTCAACAGCAAGTAAAGAGATGGCGCTGTACCAATACAAAACAGCATAAATTAATAACTACAAGACATTTAGAATAAAGAAACCTACATCACACAGAATAAGTTTAATTACCAATTAACATAAATAGAACGTCCAACCTACGTCGGTTGGACCGCGGTCCCCGGGCTAACAATACCTAGCTCGGAGGGAGACAATTATCCTTTAGTATCCCTAGCCAGTTGTCTCCATCACCACATCAGGGACCCAACCTTCAACCACATGGTTCCTAAAAAATCAATCACGAGGAGTCTTTTGGGTTTGCCCATATCTTTTAAATTGACAGCATTTTTATATGTTTAGCGGTTTCAGGATTTGAGTAAGCCATCAAGATATCATCTACGTAGATCATAATAACTGTTGTATCTCCTCCTTAAATTGATATGTAGACTAGTTTTTTAAACCACTGACGTCCTGGCTGCTTTAATCCATATAGCGTCCTTTCTAATAAACAGGCTTTATCACCTTTTATACCTTTCAGATCTTCAAGCATTTTATCTAGCTTTTATATATACAGTCAGATCTTCTTTATCTATTTCATCTAACATCACCTGTGATACAAATTCTTCTAGTCATTCTGGAACTTTCATTGTATTTCTTTCATCTAGATCACCATTTAGATATGCTGTAGTCCATTTGACATAAATGTAAGTCTTCTTCTAATGCCATTCCTACAACTGTTCTTATGGAACTCAATTTTACAACAGGCTCAAAAGTTTCATTATAGTCTACACCAGGGTTTTGCGCGACTAGTTTGGCCTTTTTGATTTCATTGTTTGAGCCAATTTTCTTTTTTAGAATAATTTTGTATCTGATTAGACTCGTATCTTTCTCTTTAGGAACTATCCGCCATGTACCATTTTTGATATGCGCTCTGATTTCAGATTTTATAGCATCATGATAATTTTCGTCATCATCATCTTCACATTGGTGTGATTGTTCAGCTATATTTGTGTCATAATATTCATCAGTTTCATATTGATTACCATTAATTTGTACATAGTCATTCATCCGTTTTGGCCGTCTTCGTACTCTTTGAGGTCCTATTTTATTCGATACATATCGATATATTTGTGTAAATATATATCGGTTTTCGGATTATCTTGCAAGTGCATCCATAGTTCAAGAAGGAGGTAACATAGAATTAATAAGTGCTAGTTGTACGTAGTACTTATTAATTCTATGGGAGGTTCAATCAAGCATTAATTCAATCAAGTTTGTTTATTCTATAAATTCTTGTCATTAGGTATGGGAAAATAGGAAAAAGTAACGATATTATAATAATTTGATTAATTTTGCATTCACAATGCCATACTGAAAATTGACAAAAAAAAATCGATATATTGATATATCGATATTTTCGTAATAAGCGATTATCTATAAAAATTGACAAAATATTCGAAATTTTTAAACAAATAAACACCTGGCTGTTTTGTTATTTAGAATAGGTACATAAAGCCAAGAAAACAACATCTTCAACACAACAAAAATTACATTTTTCAAACAAATCAGTATTTGTCTGATATTAACATCAGGAGCACTCTCACTGATACCAACCAAACCAACAATCAGTGTCAATGTCATAAAGAAACAAAAAAGACAAGCAGGTCATAGACTGTAATTTCTAAAATCTAATATAAGAAATACATTATGAGACGTATGAGCAGACAGCAGAACTTTAAAAAATATATCGGTTTGATACGAATTTGATATCTTAAAATAAATATCTATATCGCGGAAAAAATTTCGCTGAATTACATCGATATTATTCAGAAAAAAAATCGATATTTTGATATATCGATAGTTATAGCCCACAATTCTACTTCTGGTCTGAGTCCTACTTTTCCCTCATTTGAAGTAGAGTACTATTATTGTTCTGTGCATTTGACACGGGCGCCAGCGGACGACGTCGCGTATGAAAATAAAATTATTTTGTTTGTTCTTTAGCCGTTTTTCAAATCACACGCTTCAGTGTAAGTTTGTTAAAAATTAAAGTATTTATTTTAATGGATACGCTTAATTATATTGATTTTACTAAAGTTCGAGGAAAAACTACTTTTGAAATAGCAATTATTATTTCTATTTATGCACATGTGCATAACCTTTTTTAACCACGTGATTTTCTTGACCTTTAATGATGAGAACAATTCATTTCATTCGTGGTATCTACCATAGTGCTTACACAGTGATGGCTCTATGCGTCTGAATTCATTTAGTTGCATAGTTTTTTTTATTTTGCACGACTTAGATACTGAAACCAATACGATTTTATTCCAGAATGATGAACAGTGCGGACAGACGTACACTGATCCTGCTTCGCAACGCTCTTTATTCACCATCAATGAATATTGATATCTATAATCGGGTCACCAGCACAGGAAGCCAGACTACAAACTCCATAGTGCTATTTTGTACTTGCTCGCTTTCAGACTACTCAGATCAACGTAAGTTGAAAAATTTGATAAAATTCCTGTTAAGTGCGGAAATATGTGTTGTTGTGGCGTGACAGATGCATTGATTGCATGTCGAATTTATACATTTTAGGGACCTATTATTAGAGTCACATTTCAGATCGCATATTTCAGTGTAAGTTTGTTAAATATTAAAGTATTTATTTTATTGGATATGCTCAATTATATTGATTTTGCTCAAGTTCGAGGAATAACTTCCTTTAAAAATAGCAATTATTATTTCTATTTATGCACATGTGCATAACCTTTTTTAACCTTTGATGATGAGAACAATTCATTTCATTCGTGGTATCTACCATAGTGTTTACACAGTGATGGCTCTATGCGTCTGAATTCATTTTGTTGCATAGTTTTTGTTTTTTTGCATGACTTAGATACTGAAACCAATATGATTTTGTTCCAGAATGGTGAACAGTGCGGTCAGATGGATACTGGTCCTGCTACGCAATGCTGTTTATTCACCATCAATGAATATTGATGTCTATAATCGGGTCACCAGCACAGGAAGCCAGGCTGTACAAACTCCATAGGGCTATTTTGTACTTCAGACTACTGTGTACTGTGGTCGCTTTCAGACTGCTCAGATCAGTGTAAGTAAAAAAATTTGATAAAATTCCTGTTAAGTGCGGAAATATGTGTTGTTGTGGCGTGACAGATGCATTGATTGCATGTCGAATTTATACATTTAGGGACCTATTATTAGAGTCACATTTCAGATTGCATGTTTCAGTGTAAGTTTGTTAAATATTAAAAGTATTTATTTTAATGGATATGCTTTATTATATTGATTTTACTAAAGTTCGAGGAATAACTACTTTTGAAATAGAAATTATTATTTCTATTTATGCACATGTGCATAACCTCTTTAACCACATGATTTTTTTAACCTTTGATGATGAGAACAATTCATTTTCATTCGTGGTATCTACCATAGTGTTTACACAGTGATGGCTCTATGCGTCTGAATTCATTTAGTTGCATAGTTTTTGTTATTTTGCACGACTTAGATACTCAGACCAATATGATTTTGTTCCAGAAGGGTGAACAGTGCGGACAGACGTACACTGATCCTGCTACGCAACACTCTTTATTCACCATCAATGAATATTGATATCTATAATCGGGTCACCAGCACAGAAAGCCAGACTGTACAAACTCCATAGTGCTATTTTGTACTTGCTCGCTTTCAGACTGCTCAGGTCAACGTAAGTAGAAAACTTTGATAAAATTCCTGTTAAGTGCGGAAATATGTGTTGTGTTGTGGCGTGACAGATGCATAGATTGCATGTCGAATTTATACATTTAGGGACCTATTATTAGAGACACATTGTACATTATAGCACAGTGTGTATACCTCTTAATGATGAGAACAATACATTTCATTCGTGGTATCTACCATAGTGTTAAACACAGTGATGGCCCTATGCGTCTGATTTCGTTTATTTGCATAATTTTGTAATTTTATATGACGAAAGTACTAAAACCATTGTTTTTTTATCAGAATGGTGGACACTACTCGTTTTGGTGAATGTGGTAGTTTTTGCCGTGGCTTCGAGGCTTGGAAAGGCAATAGAGGTTGTGGAGACCCATGATATCATAGCTATGGTCATCAGTAAAAAGAGATGATGTCACTAAGTGAGGACATCTCGTTTGTGGAGTATGGAGTTATGGATTAATGTGAAGAATCTGCAAACTTAAGAATATTAGTATTCCTTGCTGATAAAATTAAAATCATTGATTGCTTCGTAGACAACACACCCAGTTCAAGGTATAATAATTCAATGATCGAATTGTTCTGGGTGTTAAATATGGATACGAAGTCGCAACTGCTATTAGAGGCACACAACACGAGTTATGTTATGCTGAGCCACATTTGTTTTATTGAATATTTCTTTTATATTATTACATATGTATTAACTTTGATTATTCTGATTAAACTTATAAATTAAATAAAAAGGATCACTTTTATTTTCCTTCAAATTTTTTGACGTTTTGTATGAACTAAAATTGCTGGGTAATTTTTATGAGCGTATTTTATGAATGATTTATTAAATTCCTTCAATTATTTGTTATGATGTGCTTGTGTAGAGGAACAATGTTTCGCCTCTTTAATAAAAAGATGGAAGTTAAAAATCGTTTGTTTCGAGTTTTTCTGATAAAACTCACCATTTAGAAGTACAGAGTCGGTAGACATTAGGGTTGCCACCTTTTTTTTCCCCAATTAAAGTACATTAGTTATTATAGGTACAAAAACAAAGTAAATTGAATCAAAATAAAGTTTTATTTATTTTTCTTTATTACTAAACTTAAAAATACATTTTCTTTTTATTTATCGATTCAGCATGAATCGATAAATTTTGTTTAACGTAAAAATACTTACTACTAAGCTTCAAAATCACAAAGTAAAGTAAACGACATAAAGTATTTTCGTGTACTTTATTTTTCTTATAGAGTATAGAGTACAATTGTCTGAAATAACGTACAATACTTTATTATAAAGTACGGCTGGTAACCCTAGTAGACATCGACAGCGGTGAGAATCAAACCGTTAAGAACGAGATACGCTATCATCGCTATCTTTTCGATCACAGACTGATTGACAGGAATAAACAAGTTTATTCAAAAAATTCAGGTGAGATTCATGGATTCTGAACTCTGTTGCAAACAACTGATGAGATTAGAGATAGCCAGAAGTTGGGAGAAAGCGGCCAGAATTAATCAATAGAAGGGGTGTAGTTTTTAATTATGATAACGCGTCTAACGTCACACATCTAATGCGACTCAGCAAAAATTAAGAATTTGTCTGGAAGATGTTAACGCATCCGCAATGCAACCTTCAGATTTCCACATGTTTCAGTCTTTTCAGATATCTTCACGCAGTATCAGGTTAACAATTGAGGACTGCCAAAACCACTTTTCGCAGTTTTTTATCAAAGCCCCAAAATTTCTATTGCAATGTGATCATATCTATACCTACAAGATAGCAAAAAGCTATTGTACAAAAAGATACCTACATACTTTAGTTAAATGTCAATAAACTATCAAAAAATGATTTAATTTTTCATATAAAATTCGAAGATACTTATCCCCAACCTATAAATATGTATAATAGGCGCATTATATGGTTAGTATAACCCAACTGTAGTTAGCGAATCGTGTAATTAATAATTAAGGGATTCAATGATGACCTGGAAAGTTTTTTTATGTTCATTGTTGATGATGTATTGATACAATTAAGTAACGCAAGCCTAAAGAGCTAAGGATTAAGATAAAGGGTCGAATTAGAGCATGAACATCTATACTATAATAAAAACGTAACTGATCGATGTCTGTGCATTGAAGATATATGAAAAAAACTTATGAGGGACATTTATAAGTGTAATAGAACACAAAACAATGATTTTTAAATTGTTTGTCTGTGCGTTTGTGCACGATAATCTCAGAAACGGCTGAACCAATTTAAATGCAGTTTTCACTATTATATTGCGGTATTCTTCCGTTAACATTTAGTGTAAGATTTATTTCAATCGGTTCACAAATAAAAAAGTTATGTTAATTTGAAGTGACGTGTTTGCCAAAATTGCTATGAAATATTAACTGTTTTATTAAATTTTCGGCTTTGATTTATTGATCATCATCATTAACTCTTTCACAGTCAAACTGCAGGGCCTCGGGCCTTTGTTTAATAATTTTTAGTCGCCCATCCCGTTAACAAGTCTTGCGAAAATTGCTTAGCAATAGCGATCGTGCTTATCCGTAGCGCCACCGAGCTACGAATTAATATTGTCTAAAATGATAATTAGTATGATGACAAATAAAAAAATAAGATTCCAAAATTTGGCCAACTCCAAAGTAAGTTGATCTCATTTTGTATATGGCTAATTATATTAAGTAGGGTTCAGCGTATACGATCACGCGAGTAGGAGAACAAGCGAAAAGAGCATTCCGATGATGCAATTAAGCATATAGTAGTTTACAGTGAACGCATATTTCCAGCCAGCCAGGCCAGCGGAGGTGGTGGTTTCGTCTGTCTGGGAGAGGCACTCGATTTACCTGAGCCTCTCCAATTTTCCATCTGCAAGGGGACCAATGGTCCAACACTTGAGTGTCCCGATGACTCGGCCATAGCTTGCCGAGTTTCATCTCCCGTGAGAGGTTGTAGCGTACGGGTTTTGGTGGGTAGGCCTCGGGGCAGCTCACTATCGGGTTCACGGAGGAGAATCTTACTCACCCCCTGTTGCTTGCCAAGTAAGAGACAATGTCAAAGCTTTTACACGACGTTAAAAAAGTTAGATTCACGTCAACTGAAGTTAAGAACGTAAAGACAACTCGATTTATATATTTTTTTCTCATATTTCTATTTTCATGTTATTAAGATATTTGCAGTCGTTAATGTCCTCCAATGGCCAGCATGGAGGGTCGTGGCTCATCCTCCTTAACCATCCATAAGGAAGGCCTGAGCTCCTGCAGTTGGTGACGTAAAAGGGCTAATAATGTGATGATGATGATGGCCGTTCAAATCTGACGGAAGGTTAGTTAAGCACCTCTCGGAAGTATGTGTTAATAGACGATTTCCTTCGAGTGTGAAAGTCGAAATTACTCGTAAAATATGTATATATTTTTTTATATCAATAAATAAAACTCCACGTATCTTCCGTCAGACATTTAGTGACAAAGAAAGAGATCGGACGGAAAACGCTCGGTCTCGGGAGACACCTGAAAAACGCGAAGAGTATTTAACTGCCCATCATGAGGCTCATGAACTTAAATTGCAGTTAAATAAATAAATACTGCACAACGAGGATATACATGAATACTTATTTTACATAACTAAGTACAAACGACAAACTCAGCGATTTCTTCCAGGCAATCTAGCACTACATGGAAAATAGAACAATAAATAGCCGATTATGCATACAACTAGACGAATAATAATAATTTGAAAAGATCAAAAACAAAGAAAGGACAGTTTAAAGGTACGAATAAAATTCTCAGACACAAGCGACAACCGGAGCGCGATAAACAAGGAAAAAGATAGAAAAATAACATTCGTAAGGACCGTACACAGGATGGGTGCCCAAGACATTATTATCTTGAGCACTGTGCACAACACTGGCACAATGTACGTTAAGCCGTTAGTCTTGGCTGCATCAGCAACGTTAACACCCACCGATCCGCATTAAGCCCGCATAGTGGTTTATGGTCCAACGATCTTATTCGATTCGACTCCAGTCATAGGAAAAAAAAGAATTCTACCAAAATACTTCCCACGCAGTACGCACGGAGTAGCTCGGTGGCGTAGTGGATAAACGCCGCGGCCCGCGATCGTTGTCGTTAAGCAACTTTCGCAAGGGTCGGTCATGGGATGGGTGACCAAAAAATTATTATCTCGAGCTACTCCGTGCTTCGGAAGGCACGTTAAGCCGTTGGTCCCGGCTGCATTTGCAGTCATTATAACCTTCCAATCCACTTTGGGCCAGCGTGGAGGGTCATGGCCCATCCTCCTTTATCCATAAGGAAGGCCTGAGCCCCTGCAGTGGGGACGTAAAAAGGGCTGATGATGATGATGACTTCCCACGCAGACTAAGTCGCGGGCACAGCTAGTTTCTATATAAAATTATTCCTTCATTTTCCAATAAGTGGGCACCCTGATAATATTTGTGATTTTACTAATCCTTTAGCAGTTAAAAATCTATGTTTCCAATAACACTTCCAAAATTAGCTTGTAATAGTCCATGTAGTACCTATACTTACAGCCTTACTTTAACGACGAAAAACATTTTGGGAAAAATGAAAGCAAGTAATAAAACATAAATTGGTAATTATACATCTAATGTCTCCCAGTATTAGTGATTACATTTGATAGTAATAATTTCATATGTTTCTCTATTATTATCTTGAACTATATAGGGAAATGTGGGTATTCCATGACAAGCAGCCCCATGTTTTCCATCTTTTGTAAGTGCAATAACAGCACCCATAAAGTCTGGATAATGATCAGCAATTCTATTGACAGCAACTCTCGCTGCTTCTTCAGGCATTGCTCCGCGCCGCATCTCTTCAACCGCTAAAAAACTATATTATCAATGTATATTATATTATTAAGTCTATCTTTTCGAATCCAGAAATACATCATAACTAGAGCAACAAGGAAGATTGATGACAAGGAACAATGTACAAAGTTGAACCAAAATGGCGTCTCCACAGTAGCACATTTTCGCTTCTCAATCAAGATGTAAGGGTGACGACACAGAATCGTAGCAACACAGTAATAGTTATAATAAAATCTCCATTGTTCTGTTCAACTCACATGGCGAGTCAAGCATTTTATGTAATGCTTTAAAAAATATGTATTATCAAACAGGTCCTAGTGGGGTATATTTTTATTTTAAGCCTTGTTGATACATAGTGAAAACAATTACCTTGGTAAAAAACGTAGCATTATATCACCATCACCAGTAGCTGCAGCTCCTCCAACTGAATTATCTGCATATGCACCTGATCCCGGAATAGGTGAATCACCAATACGTCTAAAACATAAATAATGCCATATTTTCACATACATATACATACACAGTTTTTAAATAATCTAGAACAAAAATGTCATTGAGTGACCAATTGTATGCATTTACCCTGGTATCTTAAACTTTGCTCCGTTTGTTGATGTGCCAGCAGCAACATTGGCATAGTTATCAATAGCTACAATACCAATAGTGTCATGATTTAGGTGGTCAACTTGCATGGCTTGGTAGGGTTTACCGTACAGTAAGTTATTTTGCTTTCTGTATGGACCACAGAACTTACTTGGGTCTGGTTTGACATTCTGAGATTAAAAACATAATTATTATAGCAGTAACATGATCAGCATTATTTTACAAATGGGAATTTAGTAGTTGTTATTATAAATATAACAAATTCATACCATCCAAAAATTAGGTTGACAGTTATTCTTATTGTACCAAGTTTTCCACATTTCTCTTGATTCAAGAGAAGACAAATTTTCTTCATTAAAACCCATTTCCACAGCAAATTCTGTTGCCAGCTCCCCAACAAGCAGAGAATGTTTTGTATGCTCCAAAACATGTCTAGCTACAGATACTGCATCTTTTATCCTACGTAGAGCACCAACTGCCCCCACATTCATAGTTTTACTGAAATATAGTTTTTATTAATTGCAGCTACCGATATGGATAATTTAATTTAGAATAGGTTAATAAATCCAACAAGAAATTGTGTAAGCAATAATCACTTGTGTATTATCATAATTCATTTGTTTCAGTCTAAGGCCAACTTAGCTATAGAATAACAAATAGGTAATCAGTTAACAAACTTATTCGAGTCGCATCACTAATTTATGCTTATTGTTAGATTATATCAATGTACTCTAGGAAAAATTCATACAGAAAATGTGAATTTGGTTAGTTATAACAATATAAAGAAACCTTACTTTGCTATCATAATAAAAGAAAAATAAAGAGAAAAAATGGTCAAAATATTGGTTTCAAGATCGAAATAAATATACATGTGTAAAGTTATTGAAAAAATTTATTAGGGAAAGTAATGGATGATTATGAAAATGAACTATGAACATGTAAGATGTTGCAGATTGCCGATCCCTGGCTTAAGTGTATTATCAATGCAGCTATTTGGCAGAATGATTTGTTATAACGAAGACAAATCACAGTATTTACACGAATTGCAAATAAGCTTAAGAAAAAAGCATACCCATCCATTAAAAGCGCATCTAATGTAGTCTCACCATGTTCATCAGGGCTACCTCCATATCCAACAGTGCCATCACATTGCTGCTCTTGGCAAATAGATGCTCCTTTTTGGATAGCATCCAGAGAACTACCACCGTTTTTCAGTATATCCCAAGCTAAAATTAAATACAATATTAAAGTCCTCAAGAGTATAAGAAAGATAACGTCAATCAAATAATATATTATCTTACCACCCACAGTAGCATTACTAAAATTCCATGTAGTTACCACGATAGGAATATTTGGATCACCAGGTAAGGGACTGACAAAAAGTGTTATTAGAAAAATTATCAGTTTTAACATTTTGAAAACTTTTCTTAGAGTTTTCTGAGTTGTCACCACAGACCATAGACTTGGTAGGTATGTTGTGGTATGTTGTCACTTTTTTTTTTTTTTTTTTTTTTTTTTTTTTTTCTTTTGGCGTCACACGGTTTGTGTATTTGCCAGTGTCAAAGGTAGGGAAACGATGGTAGGAAAAAGGATAGGATTTGCGACAGGTTTTTAGCAATAGGATCAGGAAACGAAAATATTAATATATATAGAATATATACGTTATATAACATACATAAAAAGTAATAACGATATTTAGACTTTAATATTATTTGATATTATAAAAGACGCTATGCATTGATATACTGATATGTTATTAGACGAGAGCAAAGAAACTATGGATGTGGGAAAGGAAACACGTAAGGATATGAGATCTTTAAGGAATTCGGATCGATCGTATAGTGTACAAGAAAACAATATATGGTTAAGATCACAGTAGTCTGACCCACACCTACAGGAAGCATCACTAACAATTCCCAGCTTAGTAAGATGTGCTGGTGTACTAACATGACCAATTCTCGAGCGTATTAAAATACTAGTAGCAGTCTTACTGATCTTAATTTTACGGAACCACGGTTTCATCATAGTTTTAGGTTGTATTTGATAATAATGTTTTCCCTTTACTTGTCCACTATTTGTCCAATAAGTTTGCCACTCCTTATGCAAATGACACAACGGCAGCAACAGCAAGTCATGGGTATAATTTTTAAAAGGAAACATGTCTCCACAATGTACTGCCTCTTTTGCTAATTGATCAGACTTCTCATTACCTTGAATTCCCACGTGACTTGGAAGCCACACAAATTCTACCAGATACCCTTTTTTAACACATTTATAAAGATTATTTCTTATATCAAACACAAGTGGGTTATATAATCTTGTACGGAATGGAAAATTATCAATAGCTTGTAAAGCACTCCTTGAATCAGAAAATATTATTGATTTATTTAGTTTCATGAGAACGACATACTCGACAGCTTTTAGTAAGCCAAGGCATTCCCCCGTAAATACAGATGTCTCCGGAGGAAGTTTACTTTTCTGCACAATGGAAAACTGAGAGTGGTAGACTCCTATGCCCGTACATTCAGAAGAGGAAGACTTAGAAGCATCACTGTATATATGATGGTAATTTTCGTATTCGGAATCTATAATTGATTTAAAGGTTTTAGCGTTATGTTTATCTATCAGATCGTACCTTACAGATGGTGAAATTAGCAAGGCGTCATAATCTATATTAAACACTGGAAGACGGTTTGACCGATGTATAGGTGAATGGAGGCTCAAGTATTTTTGATAGCTTACTATTAAACAAGGCAGTTGTTTATGAGACCAATAGCTAGCTGTAGTTATTTCATTGTTCAGAGAGTTAAGTAGGTGGAAAAGAGGATGGTCGGAGAATTGAAGAGATCGGAACAAAAATCGATCTGCAAGAAATTGTCGTCTAATACTGAGTGGGGGTTCACAAGTTTCGATTTGTAAAGCATTGATTGGGCTTGAGCTCATAGCACCAGTTATAATTCTAAGTGCTTTTGATTGAATACCGTCTAATTTTTTTAACGAAATTAAGCTGGCAGGTTCTAAAAGGAAAGTACCATAATCCAATACACTTCGAATTAGCGCGTTATAAACCAACTTGAGCGATTGAGGGTGAGCCCCCCACCAGACACCGGAGAGACATCGAAGAAGATTCAATAGTCGTTCAGTTTTCTTGATAATGTAATCTATATGGGAGCGACCGGAGAGCTTGGAATCTAATATCACACCTAAAAACTTAGCTTGTGATTCAACTGGTATAGGCAAGTTATTATAATGAACTCTAATTAAAGGGGGATTCCTCATTCTTGAAAAAACTACGATTGTACTTTTGGATGCAGATAAATCTAAGCCATTGGTAAGCATCCAGGAGTGTAATGAAATCAAGGCCAACTCAATATGTGACGCAGCTATCTCAACTGATCGGTTTGTTGAATATAATAACAAATCATCCGCATATTGTAAAAGCTTTATATGATTATCGAAGCAAGAATCCAAATCATGTGTATAGATATTGTATAGCAAAGGGCTAAGGACTGACCCTTGGGGTAACCCTTTCCATACAGTCCTTTTTATTTCTGAATAACTAGACAAACTAACAATCAAATTACGTTCTTCTAATATGTTCATAATAAAATTAGTTAACATTGACGGGATGTTTAGCGATTCTAATTTATTTTTTAATACTGACACTAACACATTATCATAAGCAGAATTGATGTCCAAAAAAGCAGCCACTATAGATTCGTTGTTTGTAAAACCTATACGTATGTCAGTTGTGAAAATACTTATATTATCCATTGTACTTTTCCCTTTTCTAAATCCATATTGCGTTCTCGATAGTATACCTTGACTTTCTACAAACCATTCCAAACGGTTTTTAATTAAAATTTCAGCTAATTTTATTAGCACAGAAGATAAAACTATCGGTCGATATGAGCTGGCCTCAGATGGTGGTTTATTTGGTTTGAGGATGGGCAACACTACTTGTGACTTCCATGACAGAGGTATGTTTCCTGTTAACATGATAGTGTTGATAAGTTGTAGATAATAAAAGAGGATATTGTCACTTACATTAGCAAAGAATGAATATGGGATTCCATCTTCCCCCGGAGCAGAATCTTTAACATGATATATTGCACTTTTCAGTTCACGAAGAGAAAAGAGGCTATTTAAACCAGATTGATTATAAGACGACTGCGAAGGTTGTGCAGTGTTGAGTATGGGAACCCATGAAGGGGCCAATTTGTCCATGAAATCAATAGTTATTTCGGTGGGAATAGTAATTCCAGAAGATATATTATATGAAGATTTAAATCTTTTTATGTTTTGCCAAACAAGAGTAGGATGTGTGTTAGGAGAAATAGAACTACAGAAACTTTTCCAACTGTCAAATTTTTTCTTTTTAAATAATCTTTTTGTTTCAGCAATCGTTTTAGACAAGTATTCATAGTTAGCTTCAGACATATTATTATTGTAAATTCTTTCAGCCTCTTTTCTCTTCTTAACCGCTTCAGTGCAATCTTTATCCCACCAAGGAGGGGATGGTATTTTTGTGCAATTATTTTCTTTGACAGGAAACACCTCTCTGGCAGCTTCATTTAAAATATTTGATAATGCTTCAGCGCAAATGTTTTCATTTCCATGTATTATAACAGGGAGGTGCTTAAGCTTGCATTCTACATTAGATTTATAAGTAATCCAATCTTTAGAACTTTTATCAGGTAATTTATATCTTCTAGTAGACTTTTTCTGGGAAATGCTAGGTTTATTAAAGGGAAATGTAATAATAATAGGGAAATGATCACTTCCTAATGTAGAAGATAAAGTATGCCAAGATAAAGAAGAAGCCAAATTTGGTGTGCATATTGATAAATCTACTGCACTCTTATTAAGTCTAGGATCAGTGAGTCTTGTAGGTGATCCTGTGTTCAAGTAACATAAATTATGTGACTCAATAATATCTAATAAATTTACTCCATAACTATTAATAATAGAACTTCCCCATGCTCTATGGTGACAATTAAAATCTCCTAAAACTAAGAAGGGTCTAGGAAGGGTAGAGAATAAATTATTTATTTCACCAAAAATTGGTGCAGATGGATGACTGATATAAATTGATACTATGTTAATATTATATACTTTCACTGCTACAATTGAAATATCTTTATGATTTATAGATATGCTAATGGGATCATAATTAACACCATTTTTTATGAGAATGGCTACACCACCAAACCCATCACTTCTATCGTCTCTTAAAGAAGTATAACCCTTAATTTGAAAGTGTTTTTGTGATGTTAACCATGTTTCTGATAAAACTAAAATAGATGGTTCATATTTATTTAGTAAATAAATTATTTCACTTTTTTTACTAATAGCACTACAGCAATTCCACTGAATTATTTTGTCTGTCTGTCTGTCCATTTAAAGTTGGTTTCATATTATTATCAATATTCTGTGCAGCGTTGGACGGTGGGAAGAGATTAAACTGGGAAAAAAGATTGAAAAGAGCAGTAACAAAATCTGTAGGAAGTTGTGTACCTGATGCAGAATTAGTATCATTATTAAAACCACATCCATTATTAGGTGAAGGAATCATAAATTCCTTTAATAAGGCTTTATGAGCAACTGTGTCATACCCCTTTGTAGGCATAGGAGAAGAGCGAGGTTTCAAAAATGTAGTTTTTTTGTAAGATGTCCTAGGGCTTACATTGGGAACAGCTCTACTATTTTCCATCTCATTCATGGACAATTTTGCAGGTGGGGCAGCTACAGTTTCAGCGTAAGACTTAGAAATAGATGGTATCAATTTAGAAGCTTCAGCATAAGATACACAATTTTGTGCCATGTAAAGTTTGATTTGTGACTGCCTTACAAATTCTGGACATAACTTATTATTAGCAAAATGATATCCATCACATAAGCAGCAGGATGCATCTTCTTCCAAAGTATTACAAGACTCACCTGTATGATTTTGACCGCACTTGAAACATCGAGGTTTAGATCTACATTGAGACTTTGTATGCCCGAAGCGACAGCATTGGTAGCATTGTATCGTAGGATATATGTATAAATCTACATTAAGAGCATTATAACACATAAATATGCGTTTTGGTAAGATTTGACCATCAAAGGTTAAAACAATAGTTTGAGATGGCTTCCAAGTAGGGGTATCATTTACAAAGGTTTTATAATTTAGCCGTCTCACTTTCAAGATTTCACCACAACCTATAGGTACAGATATATTACTTTTAACCTCCTCGGGAGACCAGTCTGAAGGAACGCCTCTAACTAAACCCATTCTTGTGATGTTGAATGAAGGAATAAATGCTTTTAAATTGTTTGTAACAAGACTGTTGTGGATAATAAAATCGTTTGCATCACAGTGTGTTGAAAAAGAGACAGACATTTTATTGCGGCCAATCTTTTTTACGCTACCATTAATAATGTTCTTGAAGCAGTTCTTTTTTAAGAATTTACCAAAAGCCATTGGATGCAATGAGGTTCCATCGTTAGGTGTCGCTTGTTGTTTTTGAACATGTACCACGTAAGGAGCAGCATCTGTTTTATCATATGATGTTCTACTAATGGATACAGGGGCAAAAGTAGGAGTAGGTGTGGGATTAGACACAGGTGGGTCTTTCGTAGATGAGTCAGTTTTATTATTCAGCTCAGACTGAACTGGAGTCGATTCATAGCAACTACAATCGGTAGGTTTTGGTTCTGATTTATTATGTTTGCGTCTTTTTTTATTGCAATGTTTGCATACATGAAGTCGACTCCTTTTCAGAGAGCGACTAGCTACTGATCCATCCGTATCCATACCAGATTCATTATTTGATCCTATCGTAACAAAATTACTAGCCGGGGGGACAAAACCCCCCGGCTCCGGTAGCTCGTTCATACACCTAATAAATATCAATTAAATTTTGACTCACCAGAAAGTAGATAATAAACAATACTTATATACACTATAAATACGTAAGTACAAACCAATTAACTGATCACTATTTTATGCAAGAGGTATTAGTTAAAAATATTAAAATCAAAAAACGCGCCCGCTAAAGTTAAACGTTTCCCGCGCTTTTTCTGTTGTCACTTATCAGCTTATCATATTCTTGGTTGTGTGCGACTCACAGACCAAGTAGGATGCGACTCGAGTAGTATTTACAAAATACTCGAGTCAATAATGTAAAAAAAATTAAGTATTAAGTAAAAAAAATTAAGTATTATTTTTTTTTAATAAAAGTACTAAAATCTAAGTATTAAATTAAGTATTAATTTTTTTTAATAAAAGTACTAAAATCACCTCAGCGCCTCTACCAAAATTTGATTTTTCCAGGAAACGACTAGTTCAAACATAGTCATTTCCGTTCCTAATAACTAACATTTTAAAAAACTAAAATTTGCAAAGTTCGAAAATTAGATATTAATACACATACGAAAAAGTACAAATAGAATACGAGTTGTTTATAGTTATGAAAATTAATTTACTTTTATACATAAAAGAAAACCGGAAAGGTTGTCATGGAGCAATCAAGATAGTACCGTAGCGACATCTAGTTTGATTTCCGGGACTTTTTTTAAAATTTCATTGCAAATATGCTTCTCAAGTAAGATTTCTTTTATTAATTAAAAACAAATATATAAAATATAATTCATATCAAAACTGTTTTGACATATTATTCATTTATGCTCAGAGTTAACTCAATAACTGGAGATCTTTTTACACTCAGTCCACACAGGGCTCGAGTCGCATCACTAATTCATGGTGATTGGTTAAGAGCAAAGAGCCGTGTTATATATTAAGAGATACCTACTGTCTCTGTATTAAGAGGTTATTATTTTACAGAACGCGATTAACGCAAATTAAAAAACAGAAACCTTAAACTTTGCTTTTTGATTTGAAAGGAATTTTTTAAAATATTGAAGACGATAAAGTATTCTAAAATACCTTACTATAAGCAAATATAAACTATCAGAGAACCTGATAAAAATGAGTGATCTATCTGATTATTCTCCTACAAAGGGAGCAGATTCAGAACTTCAAGATTTTCTCTTAGCTGAGAAACAAAAAGCACAGTTTCATGCTCAGGTAAATTGTAGATACATTTGAGATTAACTTTAAAAACTGTTCTTAAAATTTATACAGGTTTCATTTTATAATCTGTGCCATGTTGATCATATTTTGAGCTGGATTGAAAAAAAGTAAACCCATTATGAATTTTAAAAAAGTTTCCACACACTAATTTCAATACCATTGTTTGCTTTTAGATTCACGAATTCAATGATTTCTGTTGGGATAAGTGTGTGGACAAGCCAGGAGCCAAGCTGGACTCACGTACTGAAACTTGCATAACTAACTGTGTAGAAAGATTTATTGACGTTTCCCTTCTTATAACAAACAGATTTGCACAGATGCTAGAGAAAGGAGGAGGCATGCATTGATTACTCAATATATGAAACATTCGGTAATTAAATTAAAATTAGTTTGTATTAAGAAATTGAAGGTGATGCAACTGCTGATTGTGGTGTTAGCAATTAAATAAACTACAAAATGTTTTTGTTTTATTTATTAAATTTAAAAACTAGTATTAAAAGAACCTTAATTAATAAATTATGATTACAATGTTAACCAATGAAATGACAAAGAGTAAATATTTAAAATTCACTCCTAAAAACTGACAAAGTACAATACTATTTTCTTACAATGGAACAATATAATTATCTACCAACTTGGCCTAATTTGGTATCAGTACGGGGATCAGCAGTAACAGTTTGAACAGCAACGAGTGCCTCATTAATTTTTGTTTGCAAGTTTCTTAGATCTTGCACAAATAGTAATTTTAAAACATCTGCTGGTTGCTGAATTATATTTGCTTCAGTTTTTGGTGGCTCAGGATGCGGAGCTGTTTTCAGAATTTTTGCAATAGCCGCAAGTCTAATTTTCGGATCTGAATGTGGTCCAACTCCAACAATTGTTGATACTCTTTCAACACCAGCTTTGAATGCTGGATTTGAAACTAAAATAAACATAACAATCAAAGAAATAATATCATTTAACTAATTTAAATATATAGCCATATTTGTTTACTTACAATCAAGATTATCCAAAGGATTTGAAGATACAACATTAGGTGCTGCTTTCTTTTGTTCTTCAACCTTAGCATTTTTGTACTTTTCAACTACAAAAAGAAATAATAAAATTATTTTTAAGGTAACTAGATATTAAGAACTATTCTAAGGCTTGACCACTTTGTACTATAGATATGCGCAGTAAATAAGTGGTGCAAGGATATATAGTGATAATGTTCAATGAGGCATATGTTTCTATTGATGTTGTGCAAGTACCCTGAGTGGCGAGATGTGCGAAATAGATAGGGTGTATATGGTGTGGTATCTTTTGATGATCATCCCTGTATAAAAATAAATCCCTGTTTCTATAAAATCGTAAAGACCTGTCTTTCTTTGCATCTATCCTGACAACACACATTTATTAAATCTGCGAATTATCATTAAAACAAATGACATTATAAAGAAGATCAATTTCAAAGTTTTCATACCATTGTCAGCATATTCTAATCTGATTGCATAAGATAATATCCAACTCAACTGCTCATTGAGATTCCCATCGGCAGCAGGGCTAACTAAATCACGTTGATAAGCATCATAAGCTTCTGCCCAATTATCAGCGTCTATATCACGTAAGCCTTCCCGCTCCTCTATTTTATAATGTCGTATCTTTTGATCTTCTAACCACAATATAACACTTCTATATTCCTTTTCATCTACAACGAATTAAATTAAAATATTCATTCATTTATGCTATGCTGAATTTGGATTTGAGCTCCAACAATTTTACACAATTAAATACCTTCACAATTAAAGTTTTCTGGATTTGGATGACCTAATGCAGTGAGCTTCAGTTTGAACATGTTACTCATTTTATTTTAAAATAAGGTGACGAATTTAGGGCTCAACCGAATATATTGTTCGACTTAGACAGAATTAATTTGGTAATTATAGTCTGGCAGCGGCATTCCAGGTTTAATCCAAAGAGTACTGGTTTAGTCGTGGTATAGTCATAGATTTTTTGTTTTTGGTTTCTTCACCTATTTCTTAGTCTCTGTGTAAATTAGTGGTGGTTAAATTAGCGTCCAGCGTGTTAATCAACACGCTTTTCTCTCTTAATGATTAACACTGCTAGGCTGAAGGCGCTAAGAATTTCACGCGTGAATTGTGTTAGCGCGTGAAATTCTTAGCGCTTCCTCGTTCCAACGAACGATCGAAAGAAATTAGACCGCGGCCGGCCGCCTAGTTACCGCGTGAGCGCTATCGTTGGCCAACGTGTCATTGCTAATGCTCGGAGTACGCTAAGTGGATGAGGAAGTATTTAAAAAAAAACGAAAGCACTAAAAAAGCACCTCCACTAGATGGCGACTCTGGCAAAAGTTGATTTTTGCAGGAAACTAATGGAACCATGGACCAAAGACTGACATTTACGTTTCTTTTAACCAACATATTAAAAAATTGATGTTTGAAAAATCCGTAACTTACATATCACTACAAATACGAAAAAGTACAAATAGAATATAAGTAGTTGATTGAATTCTGAAAGTAATAATTTACTTTTAAACATGTAAGAAAACCGGAAGGGTTGTCATGGAGAAATCAAGAACGTAACGTAGCGACATCTAGTTTGATTTTGAGAACTAATGTTTTTTTTTAATATTTCCTCATTATTACGCGTGATCCTGTGTTTTAACAACGCTTACTAAGTTGGTATTTTAAATACTTTAAATTAGAAGGGTGATTATGTGTTATTTAGCATATATTTAAAGAAGTTAATGTATGTATATGGATTATAAATGATTGTTTAAAACAATGAGGAAGACTTTAAAAAATTTAAATTAATTCTTAAAATCATACTAGATGTCACTCGCGATTTTCGGATTTTGTTTATGATATTCATTCAAATTTTGTTTCTGACGCAATAAAAGTAAATTGAGTATCGAAAATTAATAAATATGACATCGTTTTGTGTTTCTTATAATATCTAACTTTCAAACTAATTTTAATTTATTTTAATCGTAAGTTTAAGTTGTTTATTATGTTACGTGTAAAGGAACAATGTTTGGTTGATACGTCAACATTAGTGATGAGCCAACTTATTGGTTGCTTGTAATTTTCATTCGAATTCAGTTTTGGAATGAAGAAAAAAATGATGATGAAGATGAAGTGTCATTAGAGTCTGGCAAGCGAAACGTGTCACAAGAAAAGGGCGGCAATTTCAAAAATTCTTAAGCAGTAAACACTGAATGTAGTACTGCAAAATAATTTTGATACTTTTATTAATTATATTTAATCTTAACATTTAGATATCAATTAAAATTATTTGTTTTGGAACATTTGACTAAAGCGTGACTGTTCTTAATTGTACAGTTAACAGCATATCAGTAGGCCTATTCACTAACTCAACTGACAACCAAGAATCGTCATCACCGTAAAAAATAGACACTTTGATTGTGTCAAAATCACTATTTCGTATTCTCTATCAATGATGAGCAATTTCGAAATGTCAATATCGGCATTCTCCACTGGACTCCATTTTGACACTTGATTTCGTATCGATAAACTGTATTAAAGTAACATTGTTGCAAAGCATATTTGAAGTCGTCGCATAGTACCTCTTAAGCCATTTGTTGTTAAATTAAAGCGAAAAAAAATACGTATCCAATATTTTTCTATTATCTGACTGACGGACTAAATCGAATCTTTTTTTTAACCCATTCGTTATACCTATTGGCTAACAGCACTTATAATATTAAAAATTCATATTTGTCATTAATTAAAAGGGTGTTTTTTGCAACGACTTCTTTGTTTTTTTGTAATGAATATGGGCGACTCTGGCCACATTTTTTTAATAAATGTGATGTTAGCCAATTTTGATTTCTGGCCCTTATATTTATAATGTGTTCATAACACATACATGTCTCCTAAGGGATTTTCATCACAACCTTTTGCTCTGATCCAGAACCACTATCTATCAAATTAAATTAGTCAATATAAACACCAGATTACAATAAAAAAAACATTTATTTTTGTTACAATTAAGTGCCATGGATAAATTACATAATACAGATGTCACAAAATCATCATGTTAATCACAATAGAAAATTTAAGATAAGATTTTGACTATGAATCAGACTAAAAATACTTTAGTCTGATTCATAGTCAAAATCTGTTTCTAAATATTCTACACCTGATAACAATGACAAGGAATCATCAGAGTCACTCTCTTCACTACTGTCTGCACCAACAGATATAATAAATTTTTCAAGTTCGTTTTCAACAATGCCATCTTTTAATTTGTAATCATTTTCGACATTTAAAACATGATCAGTGTATTTCTTCCAGTCACTAGGGGTAATTAAGTTAAAACACTCTATTATTAAGTTTTCCATTTCCTTTCCTGGTATTCCAATGTTTCTGCTTGCAATTTTTCTTTTTGCTTGACTCCAAACCATCTCTATTGGGTTTAAGTCACAATGATACGGTGGCAGCAATAAAAGTTCATGATTATGTTCTTTTAAAATCTCTTCAGCTTCATATACAGGCAATGTTTTCTTATCATTAACCAAACACATTAACTCTGCCTTTGTCTGATATTCCTCAAAATGTATTCCATTATTTACAAGCCATTTACGGATATCTGCTTTGGTATTAGACATTATAGGCGGTTTATTGATTTGTTTTATATGGTAGCTGGCATTATCCATAACAATTACACTGGGCTTACTTAAATTTGGTATTAATTTTTCTCTGACCCATTTCATAAAGTTCGATGAGTTCATATCATCATGATAATCAGCAGATTTGGATTTACTACTGAACACTAATAATGCACCAGGCACAAAACCTTCCTCAGATCCAGCATGCACAACAATATGCCGTTTTCCAGAGGATATCTTTGTAGTGACACCAGTTGTTGAAGGTCCTTGCCAAGACTTTTTAACTTTATAATTCTGATGTACATAAGTTTCATCAAGGTACACAATTTGCTTTCCTTCGTTTCGTTTTATATTTATTTCTCTCAAATACTTGTGCCTCCATGCAGAAATCTGGTATTTTTCTATAAGCATAGAACGTTCATTTTCATTGCTTTTAAAAGAAAATCCATTCTTAAGCATAATTTTTCGTAAAGTCTCACGGCTACCACTGAATCCTATTGCATCTTTTAATTCATTGTGAAGGCTTCTTAATGTTGGAACAATTTTTTTCACACAGTAAAATTCATTTACTTTATTCTGAATTGCACTTAAATCAAAATTATCTAAAGCAGACACTGTTGGTTGATGAGGTCGTTTTTTCCCAGGAGTGTCCCATTTTCCTTTATTAATTAATGCCTCATTTTTTATCCTTCTTAGTGTCCTTATACTTACATCTATAAAAGATTAAACACTTTGAAACAAAGATATGTTAAATGTATTTAAAAGCAAATAATGATAGACACATACATCAAAATAATTTAAATACCTATTCAACTATGAATGCAATTTATGTTTAATTTAGTTAAGTTTATGTGCATATTTAGCATGTATAACAATTACATGGTTTGATTAGTTTCATGAATTCTGTGAATTTCCTTGTTAAACAAAACATTCTTATGACATCATTGGATGTCAACAATAAAAACCAATACATCATAAAAAACCTATGTAAATATTATAGGAATACTATCAATCTATCTTAAATCAAAACAAGAAAAGAGACCTGTCATTGAAGAAATTTTTTGTAAGTACTGCGTTTCCGAATTCAGCATTTCTTGTTTTTCTAAAGTTTTTATTGCATTTATCTCCTCCATTATTGGTTGAATATCACCATCACAGTTATCTGAAATAGAGCAATATTTTATAAAAAATATCTGTTTAGTTAATTACAGAAAATTAAAACGAAAGTATCAAAATTATAATACAAAACTAACCTAAAAAAGATACAACTTTATCTAATCGTTGTAATTTCTCCATGAAATTTTTATTTAATTCAGTTTTCACTTCAGTAAACTTGTCAATCATGATGGAAAGAAGTTTCCTCGATGAACTTTTTATCGGCTTCGACATAATTTTTAACCAAAAACACAAGTTCAAATTCGCAAAAACAACAAAATTCAATATTCTTGAATTGTCTAACGTAGTGTCAAACTGACAGTTCTATGTTGTTGCCATATGAAAACGGAAAAATAGGTGGTGTCACGTTTCGCTTGCCAAACTCTATGCATCAACAAAACGAATGATATTAATATAAATATCAAAATCAATTTAGTCTAGGCTGTTACATAGTACTTGTGAAAGTCGAAAATTTTACCAATGGTTCGCAAAACTAAGGAGGGAGATCTCGTACTGACAAGAATCGGCAAGAAACTCAGCAAGGGCTGGTTTTTTAATTTCAACTATACAACTCAACTATACTCTATTTGAGGGAACGTAACCACATAACGCACACGATACCACCGCAGAGATTTTCAACTTAACACATGGCTCGATGTCCACCGTCGACATGCAAGATCAGTAGCAATAATATAATAACTGTACGTGTCTTTGTGATTTTTAAATTTAAAGTTATAACTTACACTTACACAAGTTATTTGCACATTACACTTTGCACAAACGTCATTTTAGCCAGCAGTCATGTTATTTTGTACGAATACATAGTATATTTGATACACGGGTAGTATATAGATAATAAACGGAATTTTTATTATAATTGTCGTTTTCATGACTTTTGTTACTGATTAATAAACCTTATTCATCCATTCATCATACATAATATAAAAATATTATTGAGACTTGATGAAGTTTTGTTGTTACAACAAACAACTAATAGCAATAAAATTAATTTACCTAGTTGTTATTGTTTTCAGAACTTTTGTTAAATATTATAATGAAAATTCCTAGACCTACTATGGTATAAGTACCTATTTTATTTATAAAAACTATTTGACAGTAATATTATTGTATACCGTATCTAAATGCCACTTTTAATTATATCACAGCTATAATTCAAT